CCATCACATCCTGAATATATTCATATATATATATTCTGGATCTTATTAAAAACGCGCGTTGCTGAAAGTTTCATGGTAATAAACCGATCGTATTCTTGGGGGTACGACGATTAGTTTGTTACCTCGAGACTTGATACACGCTTTATGAGGGATTCGACAAAAGACTTTCCCGTAGCAGGTTGCCCTTTCTCACTGCGGTAGACCAACCAAGGTCATAGGATCCAATATGTCTTGATATTAAACCCATAGCTGGAAAGAGAAGAGATGGATTCATGCCTTTCCGAACAGTAGTTGCGCGTAAGTGAATGTAACTAACACGACAAGACGATATCCACTTGGTACGTTTTTAATAATATCCAGAAAATGTAATATTTGCAATATATGTGGCTCAGTCTAAACGATATTGAGCACTATATTAAAAAAATCTAACTTTAGCTTGCATTCAGTTGAATGGTTAACAATTTATTTTATATATATATATATATATATATATATATATATATATATATATATATAATTATGACATTTGTATAATAATTATATATATATATATATATATATATTTATATATATAATTATACAGAGGTCATAATTCGTTGAAAAATGCACCCCTACCTTACCTAGACTTAACCTCTTTTTCGAAAGTAACTCTTAATTGATACAATAATAGTTAATAAAAATGAACACGCTACCGCCTCTGTCGAAATGATTGGATTTCTCTGTATCCTTGGAAAGAAAAAATTACGAATGCACGTGCTTTTAAAACTCAGTAACTTTAAAAAATAAGTTATTCCAAAATTCGCTTGAAGATGAAACAGAACTAATGCTTTTAATTTAATTATATAATTAAATTTGAAGTTTTTAGCTTCGGTTTTTGAAACATGGCAATTCCTGTGTAGCGAAGGAACCATATTTTTAAATCAGTTAATTTATAATATTTATGCTCTGTATTGTCTGTTTATGCCAACTGAATTTTATCTTTAAACTTTAGCAATTGAGATATTTTTTTAATATTTGTATATTATATATTTGTATATTATATAGGATTAATAATGCCAAAGTTTCAGATAATTGTTATGAGTAGAAAATTGATTATTGTAAAATTATTCAAAAACTCGAAAAAACGATTGGTGCATACTTATAAGGCCGTTTAAAAAAGAATCACACTGCAAGTTAAAATAATTTAAATCAACTTAATTGCTTAAAATTTCATGAATTATCGTTAATACCTCACCAGCATTTGCGCTTAACCAAATTGGCATAAGTTATGCCTTTGGGTACAAAATTAAGTGAATTTGAAAAAAGGTCAACTAATTTTACTCAAAAATGAAAATTTGAGTAGTAGAGAAATTGCCGTTCAAAAACGGTTATTAACATTTTTTATGAAACACGGAAGAATAGGAAGCCAGGAAAAGAACCGGAAGAAGCCAGAAATTAAGTGATAGGGATGTCACGGAAGAATAGGAAGCCAGGAAAAGAACCGGAAGGAACCAGAAATTAAGTGATAGGGATGTCACGGAAGAATAGGAAGCCAGGAAAAGAACCGGAAGAAGCCAGAAATTAAGTGATAGGAATGTCACGGAAGAATAGGAAGCCAGGAAAAGAACCGGAAGGAACCAGAAATTAAGTGATAGGGATGTCACGGAAGAATAGGAAGCCAGGAAAAGAACCGGAAGGAACCAGAAATTAAGTGATAGGGATGTCACGGAAGAATAGGAAGCCAGGAAAAGAACCGGAAGGAACCAGAAATTAAGTGATAGGGATGTCACGGAAGAATAGGAAGCCAGAAAAAAAAGAACCGGAATGAACCAGAAATTAAGTGATAGGGATGTCACGGAAGAATAGGAAGCCAGGAAAAGAACCGGAAGAAGCCAGAAATTAAGTGATAGTGATGTCACGGAAGAATAGGAAGCCAGGAAAAGAACCGGAAGAAGCCAGAAATTAAGTGATAGCGATGTCACGGAAGAATAGGAAGCCAGGAAAAGAACCGGAAGAAGCCAGAAATTAAGTGATAGGGATGTCACGGAAGAATAGGATGCCAGGAAAAGAACCGGAAGGAGCCAGAAATTAAGTAATAGGGATGTCACGGAAGAATAGGAAGCCAGGAAAAGAACCGGAAGAAGCCAGAAATTAAGTGATAGGGATGTCACGGAAGAATAGGATGCCAGGAAAAGAACCGAAGGAGCCAGAAATTAAGTGATAGGATGTCACGGAAGAATAGGAAGCCAGGAAAAGAACCGGAAGAAGCCAGAAATTAAGTGATAGGGATGTCACGGAAGAATACGAAAGCAGGAAAAGAACCGGAAGAAGCCAGAAATTAAGTGATAGGGATGTCACGGAAGAATAGGAAGCCAGGAAAAGAACCGGAAGAAGCCAGAAATTAAGTGATAGGGATGTCACGGAAGAATACGAAGCCAGGAAAAGAACCGGAAGGAACCAGAAATTAAGTGATAGGGATGTCACGGAAGAATAGGAAGCCAGGAAAAGAACCGGAAGGAGCCAGAAATTAAGTGATAAGGATGTCACGGAAGAATACGAAAGCAGGAAAAGAACCGGAAGAAGCCAGAAATTAAGTGATAGGGATGTCACGGAAGAATACGAAACCAGGAAAAGAACCGGAAGAAGCCAGAAATTAAGTGATAGGGATGTCACGGAAGAATAGGAAGCCAGGAAAAGAACCGGAAGAAGCCAGAAATTAAGTGATAGGGATGTCACGGAAGAATACGAAGAACCAGGAAAAGAACCGAAGAAGCCAGAAATTAAGTGATAGGGATGTCACGGAAGAATACGAAAGCAGGAAAAGAACCGAAGAAGCCAGAAATTAAGGATAGGGATGTCACGGAAGAATAGGAAGCCAGGAAAAGAACCGGAAGAAGCCAGAAATTAAGTGATAGGGATGTCACGGAAGAATAGGAAGCCAGGAAAAGAACCGGAAGAAGCCAGAAATTAAGTGATAGAGATGTCACGGAAGAATAGGAAGCCAGCAAAAGAACCGGAAGAAGCCAGAAATTAAGGATAGGGATGTCACGGAAGAATAGGAAGCCAGGAAAAGAACCGGAAGAAGCCAGAAATTAAGTGATAGGGATGTCACAGGAAAAGAACCGAAGAAGCCAGGAAAAGAACCGGAAGCCAGGAAAAGAACCGGAAGCCAGAAATTAAGTGATAGGGATGTCACGGAAGAATAGGAAGCCAGGAAAAGAACCGGAAGAAGCCAGAAATTAAGTGATAGGGATGTCACGGAAGAATAGGAAGCCAGGAAAAAGAACCGGAAGAAGCCAGAAATTAAGTGATAGGGATGTCACGGAAGAATAGGAAGCCAGGAAAAGAACCGGAAGAAGCCAGAAATTAAGTGATAGGGATGTCACGGAAGAATAGGAAGCCAGGAAAAGAACCGGAAGAAGCCAGAAATTAAGTGATAGGGATGTCACGGAAGAATAGGAAGCCAGGAAAAGAACCGGAAGAAGCCAGAAATTAAGTGATAGGGATGTCACGGAAGAATACGAAGCCAGGAAAAGAACCGGAAGAAGCCAGAAATTAAGTGATAGGGATGTCACGGAAGAATACGAAGCCAGGAAAAGAACCGGAGAAGCCAGAAATTAAGTGATAGGGATGTCACGGAAGAATACGAAGCCAGGAAAAGAACCGGAAGAAGCCAGAAATTAAGTGATAGGGATGTCACGGAAGAATAGGAAGCCAGGAAAAGAACCGGAAGAAGCCAGAAATTAAGTGATAGGGATGTCACGGAAGAATAGGAAGCCAGGAAAAGAACCGGAAGAAGCCAGAAATTAAGTGACAGGATAGTCATGGAAGAATAGGAAGCCAGGAAAAGAACCGGAAGAAGCCAGAAATTAAGCCAGGATAGGGATGTCACGGAAGAATAGGAAGCCAGGAAAAGAACCGGAAGAAGCCAGAAATTAAGTGATAGGGATGTCACGGAAGAATAGGAAGCCAGGAAAAGAACCGGAAGAAGCCAGAAATTATGTGATAGGGATGTCACGGAAGAATATGAAGCCAGGAAAAGAACCGGAAGAAGCCAGAAATTAAGAGACAGGGATGTCACGGAAGAATACGAAGCCAGGAAAGAACCGGAAGAAGACAGAAATTAAGTGATAGGGATGTCACGGAAGAATACGAAGCCAGGAAAAGAACCGGAAGAAGCCAGAAATTAAGTGATAGGGATGTCACGGAAGAATAGGAAGCCAGGAAAAGAACCGGAAGAAGCCAGAAATTAAGTGATAGGGATGTCACGGAAGAATACGAAGCCAGGAAAAGAACCGGAAGGAACCAGAAATTAAGTGATAGGGATGTCACGGAAGAATTGGAAGCCAGGAAAAGAACCGGAAGGAACCAGAAATTAAGTGATAGGGATGTCACGGAAGAATAGGAAGCCAGGAAAAGAACCGGAAGGAACCAGAAATTAAGTGATAGGGATGTCACGGAAGAATAGGAAGCCAGGAAAAGAACCGGAATGAACCAGAAATTAAGTGATAGGGATGTCACGGAAGAATAGGAATCCAGGAAAAGAACCGGAAGAAGCCAGAAATTAAGTGATAGTGATGTCACGGAAGAATAGGAAGCCAGGAAAAGAACCGGAAGAAGCCAGAAATTAAGTGATAGGGATGTCACGGAAGAATAGGAAGCCAGGAAAAGAACCGGAAGAAGCCAGAAATTAAGTGATAGGGATGTCACGGAAGAATAGGATGCCAGGAAAAGAACCGGAAGGAGCCAGAAATTAAGTGATAGGGATGTCACGGAAGAATAGGAAGCCAGGAAAAGAACCGGAAGAAGCCAGAAATTAAGTGATAGGGATGTCACGGAAGAATGGGAAGCCAGGAAAAGAACCGGAAGGAGCCAGAAATTAAGTGATAAGGATGTCACGGAAGAATACGAAAGCAGGAAAAGAACCGGAAGAAGCCAGAAATTAAGTGATAGGGATGTCACGGAAGAATACGAAACCAGGAAAAGAACCGGAAGAAGCCAGAAATTAAGTGATAGGGATGTCACGGAAGAATAGGAAGCCAGGAAAGGACCGGAAGAAGCCAGAAATTAAGTGATAGGGATGTCACGGAAGAATACGAAGCCAGGAAAAGAACCGGAAGAAGCCAGAAATTAAGTGATAGGGATGTCACGGAAGAATACGAAAGCAGGAAAAGAACCGGAAGAAGCCAGAAATTAAGTGATAGGGATGTCACGGAAGCATACGAAGCCAGGAAAAGAACCGGAAGAAGCCAGAAATTAAGTGATAGGGATGTCACGGAAGAATAGGAAGCCAGGAAAAGAACCGGAAGAAGCCAGAAATTAAGTGATAGGGATGTCACGGAAGAATAGGAAGCCAGGAAAAGAACCGGAAGAAGCCAGAAATTAAGTGATAGGGATGTCACGGAAGAATAGGAAGCCAGGAAAAGAACCGGAAGAAGCCAGAAATTAAGTGATAGGGATGTCACGGAAGAATACGAAGCCAGGAAAAGAACCGGAAGGAGCCAGAAATTAAGTGATAGGGATGTCACGGAAGAATACGAAGCCAGGAAAAGAACCGGAAGAAGCCAGAAAATAAGTGATAGGGATGTCACGGAAGAATACGAAGCCAGGAAAAGAACCGGAAGAAGCCAGAAATTGAGTGATAGGGATGTCACGGAAGAATAGGAAGCCAGGAAAAGAACCGGAAGAAGCCAGAAACTAAGTGATAGGGATGTCACGGAAGAATACGAAGCCAGGAAAAGAACCGGAAGAAGCCAGAAATTAAGTGATAGGGATGTCACGGAAGAATACGAAGCCAGGAAAAGAACCGGAAGAAGCCAGAAATTAAGTAATAGGGATGTCACGGAAGAATACGAAAGCAGGAAAAGAACCGGAAGAAGCCAGAAATTAAGTGATAGGGATGTCACGGAAGAATACGAAGCCAGGAAAAGAACCGGAAGAAGCCAGAAATTAAGTGATAGGGATGTCACGGAAGAATAGGAAGCCAGGAAAAGAACCGGAAGAAGCCAGAAATTAAGTGATAGGGATGTCACGGAAGAATAGGAAGCCAGGAAAAGAACCGGAAGAAGCCAGAAATTAAGTGACAGGAATGTCATGGAAGAATAGGAAGCCAGGAAAAGAACCGGAAGAAGCCAGAAATTAAGTGATAGGGATGTCACGGAAGAATAGGAAGCCAGGAAAAGAACCGGAAGAAGCCAGAAATTAAGTGATAGGATGTCACGGAAGAATAGGAAGCCAGAAAAGAACCGGAAGAAGCCAGAAATTATGTGATAGGGATGTCACGGAAGAATACGAAGCCAGGAAAAGAACCGGAAGAAGCCAGAAATTAAGTGACAGGGATGTCACGGAAGAATACGAAGCCAGGAAAGAACCGGAAGAAGCCAGAAATTAAGTGATAGGGATGTCACGGAAGAATACGAAGCCAGGAAAAGAACCGGAAGAAGCCAGAAATTAAGTGATAGGGATGTCACGGAAGAATAGGAAGCCAGGAAAAGAACCGGAAGAAGCCAGAAATTAAGTGATATGTATGTCACGGAAGAATACGAAGCCAGGAAAAGAACCGGAAAAAGCCAGAAATTAAGTGATAGGGATGTCACGGAAGAATAGGATGCCAGGAAAAGAACCGGAAGGAGCCAGAAATTAAGTGATAGGGATGTCACGGAAGAATACGAAAGCAGGAAAAGAACCGGAAGAAGCCAGAAATTAAGTGATAGGGATGTCCCGGAAGAATAGTAAGCCAGGAAAAGAACCGGAAGAAGCTAGAAATTAAGTGATAGAGATGTCACGGAAGAATAGGAAGCCAGGAAAAGAACCGGAAGAAGCCAGAAATTAAATGATCGGGATGTCACGGAAGAATAGGAAGCCAGGAAAAGAACCGGAAGAAGCCAGAAATTAAGTGATAGGGATGTCACGGAAGAATACGAAGCCAGGAAAAAAACCGGAAGAAGCCAGAAATTAAGTGACAGGAATGTCATGGAAGAATAGGAATCCAGGAAAAGAACCGGAAGAAGCCAGAAATTAAGTGATAGGGATGTCACGGAAGAATAGGAAGCCAGGAAAAGAACCGGAAGAAGCCAGAAATTAAGTGACCGGGATATCAGAGTGATCAAAAAAGAAGCAAGCAATGACGTCACATCGTTTTCCGAGATACAGGCAAGTTTGGAATTGGATGTTTCACTCATATGACTTGGGACAAGTAATAGAAAGGTGTAGCATTTTTCGATGAAAAAAAAAAATTAATTTGGACGGTCCGGATGGGTTATCTTATTAATGGCATGCTTGTCGCTTTGGATTATCAGAATTTGTTATCTACTTTTCTCTTGCCTTATGGAAAAAAAAAACATTGGTGGTCGAAATTGGCTGTTTCAGCAAGACAAAGCTCCTGTTCATAAAGCCAAGTCCACTATGGAGTGATTTCAAGTTAACCGAATCAATGTTACGGATTAGCCCGCCAGATCACTTGATCTCAGTCCTATCGAGAACCTTTCGGGGATATTGGTTACACAAGTATACAACAATGGGCATCTATTAAATAACAAGGAAGACCTCAAAAGTGAAAGTTTGAAAGCCTAGAATTCAATTAACCAAAACGACACTCAGAAGATAATCTATTCTATGAAAAATAGAATGCTTGAAATAGCAGCCAATCACGGAAAACAAGCTAAATATTAATTTTCATAAATTTTAAATGTTTGTCACTTTTGTAATAATTTTTTTTTAATAGCTTTATAATTATGCACCAATCGTTTTTCGCCTTTTTAAATTATTTTACAAAAACTGATTTTCTACTCATAGTAATTATTTGAAACTTTCCGATTATTAATACCATATAATAAGATACAAAATATTAAAAAATTATCTTGCTTGCTAAAACTTAAAGATAAAATTCAGCTGCCTTATAATTATGCACAGCACTGTATATATAGGTATATATTTTTTATTTATTAATCCTTCTTCAGGTGATTTGAATGTCGAACTGAACCCTTTGTTTCGCTCGCTGGGGTAGACTGTTCTAGTTCCACGTGCCATGTCTAATGGATGTCAGTTATCAGTTATCACCTGTTAATTCACCTCTCCAAAATCTCCATTGCCTTAACCAGGTATTGAACTCGCAACTCTTTTGCTCCTGTCACTGGATCTAACCAATACCTTTAACCACTATGCCATGTGTCCTTAAGGACACATGGCATAGTGGATAAAGCGGGCAAAATAAAGGGTTCAGCTCGACATTCCAACCACCTGAAGAAGGCCGAAGCGTATAACGGCCGAAACGTTGAGATAAATATTGCAACAAAGATGAGGACAATAGTCCGAATAATGTAAATAGTGTCCATAATACGTCCTCTCAGAAATATAGACAGATACTGAAGGGCCGAAACATTGTGATAAATATGACAACAAAGATGAGGACAATAGTCCGAATAATGTAAATAGTGTACATAATACCTCATCTCGGAAATATAGACAGATACTGAAAGGCCGAAACGTTGTAATAATTATGGCGACAAAGATGAGGACAATAGTCCGAATAATGTAAATAGCGTACATAATACCTCATCTCAGAAATATAGACAGATACTGAAAGGCCGAAACGTTGTAATAATTATGACGACAAAGATGACGACAATAGTCCGAATAATGTAAATAGTGTAATAATATCTCATCAGAAATATCAGATCATCTAATAAATGGCGACAAAGATGAGACAATAGTCCTGTAAAAGGTATAATAATACCTCATCTCAGAAATATAGACAGAAACGTTGTAATAATTATGGCGACAAAGATGAGGACAATAGTCAGAATAATGTAAATAGTGTACATAATACCTCATCTCAGAAATATAGACAGATACTGAAAGGCTGACACGTTGTAATAATTATGGCGACAAAGATGAGGACAATAGTCCGAATAATGTAAATAGTTTACATAATACCTCATCTCAGAAATATAGACAGATACTGAAAGGCCGAAATGTTGTAATAAATATGGCGACAAAGATGAGGACAATAGTCCGAATAATGTAAATAGTTTACATAATACCTCATCTCAGAAATATAGACAGATACTGAAAGGCCGAAACGTTGTAATAATTATGGCGACAAAGATGAGGACAATAGTCCGAATAATGTAAATAGTGTACATAATACCTCATCTCGGAAATATAGACAGATACTGAAAGGCCGAAACGTTGTAATAATTATGGTGACAAAGATGAGGACAATAGTTAGAATAATGTAAATAGTGTACATAATACCTCATCTCAGAAATATAGACAGATACTTAAAAGCTGACACGTTGTAATAATTATGGCGACAAAGATGAGGACAATAGTCCGAATAATGTAAATAGTTTACATAATACCTCATCTCAGAAATATAGACAGATACTGAAAGGCCGAAATGTTGTAATAAATATGGCGACAAAGATGAGGACAATAGTCCGAATAATGTAAATAGTTTACATAATACCTCATCTCAGAAATATAGACAGATACTGAAAGGCCGAAACGTTGTAATAATTATGGCGACAAAGATGAGGACAATAGTCCGAATAATGTAAATAGTGTACATAATACCTCATCTCGGAAATATAGACAGATACTGAAAAGCTGACACGTTGTAATAATTATGGCGACAAAGATGAGGACAATAGTCCGAATAATGTAAATAGTTTACATAATACCTCATCTCAGAAATATAGACAGATACTGAAAGGCCGAAACGTTGTAATAATTATGGCGACAAAGATGAGGACAATAGTCCGAATAATGTAAATAGTTTACATAATACCTCATCTCAGAAATATAGACAGATACTGAAAGGCCGAAACGTTGTAATAATTATGGCGACAAAGATGAGGACAATAGTCCGAATAATGTAAATAGTGTACATAATACCTCATCTCAGAAATATAGACAGATACTGAAAGGCCGAAACGTTGTAATAATTATGGCGATAAAGATGAGGACAATAGTCCGAATAATGTAAATAGTGTACATAATACATCATCTCAGAAATATAGACACATACCAAATAGTGTTTACAGAAAAGACACAGAGAGCCGACCTTATGGTTAATGTTTGTCCATGTTTGCTTTAGTCTCTTTAAAGTCTATAGCCATATGGTTCCCAGCTGGATTCTTCTCTCTGCAGTTCTTTTTTCTACATCAGTATTGCACCCATCGCGCGATTATTATTATTATTAGCAGTAGTAGTAGCAGTAAGAGCAGCACTACTCAACTTAAAAACAAAGTTATAATCACACCGACCTGCGGTTGGAAAAAAAGGTACAATCCTTTAATGGCCTTTTGGGATAATTGTGGATACCTTTTTGATAGTAAACCAGAACTCCACATGTGTTCTTTACTTGAAGATTAAACGCAACCTTTAATATGAAAGGCTTTATACATACAAACATACATACATATATATATATATATATATATATATATATATATTCTCTATGCTTATCACTCGGTGCAAAACGTACACAGACGTCTCCTATGTTGACATTGGGTCTAACTTCATTAATATATTGAAGCCATAACGAGGTCCCCAGAGTTATTTAGACCAGATTTGCTTTTTCTTTTCTAAAGGGTGCAGCCATTTAATGGCGCTTTCAGATTATTCTGTATAACCTCTTTGATACAAAAGCAAGACTTCACAAGTGGTCCTTTCTTGAAGATTATACGCAGCCTGCATTATGAAAGGCTAGAAAAATGATCAAGATTTTATCTTTTATCTAAGTAGTCTCTCGCTCCGTGCAAAACGTACACAAACATTTTCTTGGGGAATTTCATCCTCACATTAGTTCTAGTTTCACTTAGTTCCTAAAGTTATCACAAGAGCCACGGAGTTTGGGGGACTACTTTTTATCTGCTATTTTTTTTTTTTCGAAATACTACTCTTAAATAATATTTTGGATCCTGCTGTTTTGGCAAGTAATATATTTGGACGCTGATTATTTTTTTTTCGGATTCATAATTAATCCTATCGTCACATGAGCAAACAAGGAGGCATTTTTATGTTGACCAAAAATTATAGGAGCAATTATTCTCGTATTTAGCGATATCTGTCATTCTTAGGCCATTTCCTGTGATTTTACCATTATTTTCTTATTCTTTTCTTTTATATATTCTTTTAAACCTCTCAATTATTTAAATCATGCAACAGTCTTTACACACACACACACACATCCCCACACACACAAATATATATATATATATATATATATATATATGTATGTATGTATGTATTTAGGCAGCATATCTTCATTCAAACATTTCACTGAATAATATAGAGATATTATGTCTATTTATTTTTATAATAATTATTTCTAGTTCTCAAATCAGTTTCTTTCGGTTAAGATGAAATCCATCAAGGTAGGCGTCGTAGTTTTTTCCTACCCAAATTCTTTCGATCTCCCCCGAGATCATCCGCAGCGTTGAATTAAAAAATCAAACTTATTGTAACTGTGCTCGTTGTGATGGTGATTTCATTAAAAAAAAAAAAAACATGCGTAAACACACTCTGTTATAATTATTTTAAAATTAAAATTCATCCGTTGTGGCTATGGAAATTTTTGCCAAAAAAAAAGCATCCCAATATAAGGGAGCTAACCAGGAATTGGTAGAAATGCAAAGTGGTATTAAATGTTAGTTAAATGCACTTGAACACCTTGCTGCTAAACTCGTTATAAATTTTGTTGAGTGTTGGTTGGTTGCTTTTGATATAGATGGCATCGAGAATTTGAAGTTCTTTTATTATTTTCATGGGGTAGTATATTGGTCTTGTCAATAAATATTTTCCTGTATTGTGAAGGTGACAGGAATGTGTTTTTAAATGTTGTGCAATAGAACTTGTATCCGAGAGATGAAGTGTAAGATATCTTGATAATCGTGTGGTCGTCAAATCAACACACACACACACGCGCGCGCGCACACACACACATATACACATGTGTGCGCGTCAAACGGTGCTAAGAGTTACAATGGATAAAAGTTGCAGAGAGTCACGATTGTCTATGTCCTGAAGGAACACCGTACATAAAAAAAGATCGATTTGTTCGAAATAATGGCTTAAAGAAATTCGGTAATTAATTTTAAATTTCTTCAAGGCAGTAATAAATATTTTTCGAAAATACTAAATTACAGGAATTCATTTGGTTTGGAATTTCTGGTCG